CCCTTCGTCCGGGCTGAAGTGATTATTTTTTTATTTTTCTCATTAGGTTAGCTAGAAATCCTCCAATTCTCTGTTATTTCCAGTGTTTGCATGTTCCGAACTTACAGATTAAGGATTCTCTGTTCTGGAGGGATGTCTGTGCGTGTGTGGAGGTGAAACCGCGCCGTCGGGACGGCCGGGCGACGTAGCTGGAGAGGCACGAGAACGGGAGGCGAGGAGGCAGAGGATGTGTTATAATTGCATAGCATGAAAGCTTCGTAAAAGTGGGTTTTCTTTGTTTTCAGTGGCGAGCACAGCAGGAGGGACGAGCGTCCCCTGCCCTGTGTCCGTCACCGCTGATGCTGGATCCACAGTCCAGACGCTCCGGGTTGTTTGAATGTTTGGTGACGTTTTTGTATTGCAGTAAATGGCTGAGATGGTGTGTATTTTTTTTTTTTTTAATTATTATTATTTTATTTTTGGAGAACAAAACCAAACGTCATGCTCCCCCAAACGGTGATCTCTGTGTTGATTTGTACGTGTGACTTCAGGGTTGTGTGCTTGGGGACCTTTCGGGTTTTTTTCTAATTGGAGGGAAATAAAGTTTTCTGAGACGCTGGATAGAAATTTGCCCAGAGGAGATCGGTGTGTGGTAGACGGTCTGAGGAGGGCGGAGGAAAGGCCGCCCTGGTTTTTAGTTCATAGCCTGTATTTTATTTAAATGAACTGATGCCTAGCCAGGCTCAACCGGAGTCAGTGCCTGAAGCTTTTTGTAGCCGTGATATCCCAGAAGAGAACCAGCGAAGTCCTGAAAGATGCGCTCTTATAGAGCGGCCATAGTATCTGTCCAAATATTTGCTTCCATTTTCAAAAGATAAAAGTCATTGATTATAAACTTCCTCTGGTTTGCTTTTTTTTTTCCTGTGACTCTCTGCATCCCGCACCCACCGCTGCCCGTTAGCGCCTGCACTGCAGGTTTTATCACTAACCAGGTTATTAAATATCGCAATATGTTAATTTATATATATATATAAAAAACAAATTAAATAGCCTCACCCGCAGCGACAGAAACCCGAGCATGTGGGGCTGGGGCTGAGCAGGGTCTCTCTCGGGGACCCCTCTGCTCTGTCCCAGGGGAGCCGGGGTCCCTCCCTGGGCTCCCACGTGGCCTCGCTGATGATTTCCCTGGGGGTGAGCCCAGGGGCTGGTCTGGATGCGGGATTTGATAGCACAGATGTGCTGGGGGGGAGGTCTTGGGGTAGCTGAGACCGGTGGGATGTGGTCTCTGGAAGGAAAGGCACCGGCTGGAGGCTGCCCTGGAGCTGGGGGGGCTCATTCTGCTCTTCCCCAGCTGAAACCAGTTTCGAGGGTGCAGGAAAGCCCAGGCTGGAAACGGCATCGCTCGGTCCCCG